TCTCTATCTCTGTCTTTGTGTCTGTTTCTCTTTGTTTCTATCTCTGTCTCTATGTGTCTGTCTTTCTTTCCCTGTTTCTCTGTCTCTCTCTCTCTCTGCATCTCTGCCTGTCCTCCATCTCTGTTTCTCTGTGTGTGTCTTTCTCTCTGTCATTCTTTCCCTCTGTTTCTCTCTCTGTGTGTGTATCTTTCTCTCTGTGTGTGTCTCTGTCTCTTTCCATCTGTCTTCATCTCTCACTCAGCAGTAGTGCTGACAAGCACCACCATCGCTCCATCTCTCCTGCCTCCTTTTATCTCTTTATACTTAGTCTGAGCCCAGTCTCTAAAGACTAGGACCTCAAGGCCCAACTGACCCCCAGAGCCCTGTTTTGCTGCGACAAGCCCACATTCATTCATCATTTGAAATCCAGAAAAGTGAGAATTGGGAGGTTTCTTGAAAGTAGTTTGGCACCAAAGCCCAACTTAAACCAACAAGAGGCTCTGTGTTGTCTGTGTTCTTAGGTTTTGCTGAGAAACATGAGAGTGTTTGACTCCAGTACGCCATGAGTGTGTTTGTAAGATACCGGGAGCTGGTTGGAGATGCCTGAGCCTGAGAGAGTCTGGACCTCTGGGGTTTGGAGCCAGGATCAATGGTGGGCCTGCACCTCAAAGGGCTGAGGTGGTTGTAGTAGGTAAGGTGAGCCAGCCGGCTCTGAATAGAGGAATGCGTGTCTGCCCACTGGTTGCTCTGAGGTGTGGACTGTACAGGTACATGGACCTCAGGCCATGCCTTTCGTCTTTCGGGCAGGGAAGCGGGCTGCTGGGGTCCTGCAGATTCTCTGAGAACAGAAGTTCAAGTGGGACAGCGGAAGCCCATTGGCCCTCCACATGACCCTTACCTACAGAGTTACCTTTCTAAAGTGCTGTCTGTGGTGGTGGTACCTGAGCCCCTGGGTGGGTGCGATTCGTTCATGCCCAGACTGTGGGGAGCAACTTAGTTGACAGAGACCGTCATCAGAACGTGTGTTTTATTACATTACAAAAACGAAAAATCCCACCAAAACACAGCTAAAAAAATAACACATTTTCCCAAGATTACAGTACCAAAAAAGTTCATCATATTGTTGGAACAGATCTATTAATACTGCCTGAAGAAGTGTTTTTATCACATGAGAAACAGGGATAGTACTTTTTTAAAACCTGGAAGCATTAAAGTGCTTATTGACAAGGATGGAGAAGGGTAGCTTGGTATGTTTGAAGCTTAAGTGACAAGGTATGTGGGCACCCAGTTCCCATGGTGGTATGCCACCCAGTGTGAGATGACCTTCCCCAACACACTGGCCCTGGTGGCCAACACCCAGCATGAAGCAGGGAAGGGGGAACAGGCAAGAGGCTGGTAAGTAAGACAGCACTTCTGACAGAAAGCACCTCTCACTGACTGAGTTGGAACCAATTGTTTGGCTCTTTCTGCTCATTCTCATCCCTGCACTTGATCAATGCTGCAAATGTCACAAGGTTCCTTGACATGGCTCATTGTCCAGGCCACAAATAGTGGGCAGCTTCCCACTCGCCTCATCACAGCAGGGAACAGGACAAGCTATGGAGGTGCACGTACTATCCCCTGAGTTTTGAGTTTCAAAGAATAAGAGTCTCGACCTATAAGGATGATTGTCCTGGCAACTTGCATTTTCTCTTAACCACGATGAAATTTCTACTGTTTCTTTCAGTTTTTTTTTTTTTTT